CCTTCAACCGTAGCCGTTTGTACACTCCATTATGTCCACACTAACTCCAGATTCTGATTGTTTCATTTTTTCACTTGTTCTGCAGTGGCGAGGCTTGAACCTAGCCAATGAATTTTGTGATTCTCTCAGATTTGTTTAACCTGGGATTAATGATAGCCACAGGATTTAAACCAGCGCATCTAGGTAACATTTGTCAAGCATATGAAGTCTAAGTAACGAAGAGACCATTTTTCTGTAATTATCCATAGAAAATTACAGTTAGAATAAGAAATCACGCAGCACAGTAAAATTCTGGCATATTCCTTCTACGCAGAATCGCTCTCTATCAAAGTCCTGTTACTGGACACCGTCAATTTTCATTGCGAATATATTACCGCATAGAAATTAGACCTCTGTATTCCTGTACGTTCCAAAAGGAAACTGTGTTTACGGTGTAGGTTCAGCAGACGTTTCCTGTTTGATGGAATCTGCTACAGGAAATTCAGTGTTGTGGCCACGGGATGTCCCCTATGACCACTTCTTGCTGGTGCTTTCGTAGCGAAGCCTGAACGTGAACCTATGCAGTCAGTTATCTCTTCTCTTTATTCATTCTGCAGGTAGGTGGATGCTAAATATATTATTTGTGATGCGCGCAGCTTTGGTTACGGTTTGTTAGCTCACTTAAACAGTGTAATTATACCACTGCATTTCAACATTGTAAGTTAAAGCGAAGGATAACCGCCAGTATTGACGTTTTGCTAAAGGGACGGAACCTGGATCTTTAGAGTTGAGTGTTTAAGGAAAGCTACACAGTACATCAGCATCATCCTCATCAGCATCCTCATCATTATCAGCATCATCATCATCATCATCATCATCATCATCATCATCATCATCATCATCATCATCATCATCATCATCATCATCATCATCATCATCATCATCATCATCATCATCATCATCATCACCATCATCCTCATCATTATCATCATCATCCTCAGCATAATCATCAGCATCATCATCATCAGCATCATCATCATCACCATCATCAACAGCATCATCATCACCAACATCGTCATCCTCCTCCTCCTCCTCCTCATAATCCTCATCATCATCATCATCATCATCATCCTCATAATCATCATCATCATCGTCATCATTATCATCACCATCCTCAGCATAATCATCAGCATAATCATCATCATCATCATCGTCAACAGCATCATCATCACCAACATCGTCATCATCAACATCCTCATCCTCATTAATACACATTCGTCGATAGTGAGAAACAAGCCTCCGATAACAGGTCGCAATACAAACAGATAAGATACAAAAAGTTAACTACAAATATCTCATGTAACATAAGACTAAATATCATAGCACAGCACTAAGTTTCAATCTCGTCACGATGGACTTACATGGTTCCTTCAACACGCACAATTTCTAAGCTCTGTACATTTGCAGCACAAACGTAACTTGCTTTGTTTATTGCATTATGGTACTGCAGTGTCTGTAAGACGGAGACACTAGTTAACGAGTAAGATCTATTTTAAATACGTTGGAAGTTAGTAAATACCCTCTTCCGTTCCTCAGAAAGCAGGCAAACTTCCGTGTGTTCCTGGAATGCATGATGACCGTGCTAAAAAGGACGTGTTCCTTTCCGTTTTATTCGTAGGAAACGATGCCCTTGATTTACTGACAAGTCGACTCAGTTGCAGTGGACAAAATTTACCAGCAGCGCAACGATGTGTGCTGGCGCAGACTGCATTCTTTGGTGCCCAAAGTCTAAAGGACTGACTGCCGACTCAGTCCGAAATATGCATACTACATCAACTTACGTTTGTCGTGCAAACTAAGAGTTTTCGCACAAGCCCTCCTCTTGCGTTGGCCTCACGGCAATTCCTCGGCGTTGGTATATCACATCATACTGTCGGCTGCTAGGTTGGCTCTAAGTGGGTCTTACTAACTATTAATCCCTTTCACCAGCGTCGTTGAAAGGCCCGCTACTTGGTTTTCTTCAGCACAGCTTGCAGTAGGTTAGTTTGTTGCATCATACTTATTATTGTAACGGTGTGAAGAAAATTGATGAAAACAGGTATCTTCGCCAAGTGTACTTTTATTTTAGCATGGGCATAATTCGTAATTAACCTAATCCGCGTTTTGGCCTCGTAATGAAGTCCTACCTATTTGTGCCTACTTGACCACTGACGAAACTCAAATAAACGGTCTAATGGGACAGTCGTAGTAAATACCTTATACAGCCATTGTCTTCATCATAACATCCCAAGTAAATTGTGCAAAAATAAACAATTTGCTAATCTTTTCCGAAGCATTCCTTGTCAGTGAATAAACTAAAACAACTGGGCATATCACCTAAGTCGGGGAACTACGTATGTCTGTCATTCGATTCGCCTATGCGAAGGTGGAATGGTCTTACGAGTTCACTGCGAGCATGGAGTTAGGTGAACTTAATGACTTTGTCAGCCGCAGCAGGTGCGTTAGTTAAGCTAGAGATGCCCCTTTTTCACCAAACGGGTTGTCAGCCAAACTTCCAGTAACTTTTGTTAGCCAAATGGAACGACAAATCCAGATGTTCGCAGCAATCTGTATGAAAAAGAAACAACAGAATCCATCGCCATTTAGTTCAGACTGCAGAGGAAGTTTCCGAAAATTCGTTTTTTGATATGTATCGTGCTTGCATGAAGCACTGTTCCGTCTTGTGAATACAAGGTGTGTTTCACCGTATGAAGTTATTTGTGGTAATTTAAGTGTATTGAAGTATACGTTTCCACACAAGTTGTAATTGCTCTTGCTTGTGATGCCGTATGCTTTCCATTTGAGAACCTACTAAATAGCCATTGCTTATGAATTCCTATCAACTGTGGTGAAGGTAAACGCCTAGACATTCAACGCTTGACTCTGTATCAATGATCTCACACCCGCACTAGAAAGCTAGGTGCTAATATTTCCCATAAGTATGCATGCTACTTAACTTGCGTCGTTTAAGCTTGCGGGGATGCCGTCCAGCAACACCATCACTCCAGTGAACGATCCAAAACAAATGAGAAGATTTGCCGCGGCTAGTCGCCCCTACAAACATCACTCATCCAGGAAAGCGTTAGACGAGATTTTCGTCATATTGGGACGCCTCAGTAGCACGCATCCACCGGATCCGGCAGGATCCGAGCGCGTGACGAGTTAACGACTTATGCCACTGAGCCACGAGTAACGGCGGCGAACCACCATGACACATTTAACTGCGTTGAGGCTCCGCTTGACTAACAAACTCAGCTGCTGTTCTTCAAAGCCAGTAACGGAATACTGTGCTTGTGATTTGAGTGTCATTTTGAAGAACATGTTTGGTGATGGATTGCAATACGTAATATCAGTGTGGACCGCTATTCTGATTGAAGTGAACCATGGTCATTCGATCATTGGGACCGTAGCTGAAGCACACAACGTGTACTGACAAATGACATATCCGATCAGTCATTAACCGTTGTCCCAAGCGTTAACCTTCGTGAGCCAGTAGCACAAGGGTAGCGATCACAACTAACATCCCATTGGTCTTGGGTTTTATGCCTGCTATATCTTATGAGATCAAATAAGATCGAAACCTGCCATGGAGTGCAGTGTTTTCGGGCGGGTAACACCCAATTTCCATCTATTGTAATACAATTTTTATTAAAACACTGAAATCGAAGAACCGAGGACTAGACACTGGCTCACTTCACTTAGCACACAGAGGTGAGACGGGTAACTATTATGTTAACGAAAACTTATGCAAAAAGAAAACAGGGTGAATGTTCGTAATAAGCTATCGGCTCTGTTGGGTGTCAATCGCAGATTCTAGAATGTGCAATCATGTCTTCGTCCCAGCTTGGCATTCAGTTTTGAATTTATGACTGTACGTTAATTAAAAAGGGGTTTTATTTTGCTCATCTTTTATAGAACATGCGCATGCGTATAACCAAGTTAATCAACTTTTTCCTACAATTAATATAATAAGCATTTTATTCGTCTTTAGGAATAAAGGCACGGTAAGTTTTCGTTTAGGTTTTCTGAACAGTGCCTTGTCAGTGTAGGCCAATGTAATGACTCAGGTTTCGATAGCTCGGGCGCGTTGAAGTGCGCGTTCACAAACACAACTAGATGAAATAATAATTTGCGTCAAACTACGATCGTCATCAGGTATTTCGGTCCCTAAGCACTTCGCGGTATCCATTTATGAGTGAATGGTTTACCCATGAATGCAACACCATTTATGCCTACGTAATTTTGTTAATTGTTGAGCCTCAAGGATTAACCCAAGTTTACATGCTTTTTTATCATGATGAGTAGAGACAGCAATGGAAATTGTCATGTTTATATCTAACCAACAGGTACAGAGTGATAGAGAAATGTCGCATGCGTGCATGCAGATAGCTGTTCTCTAACGGAGCATCTCACCACGGAATCCTTTTCTAATCCAAACATCAACAATTAGGGAGCGTGTAAGATTTGCGCTGGTCAGTGGTCAATGGCATATTGCGAAAATCCGCAGCTTAACAAATCCGGCCAGATGATCAGTTAGGTGGGAGCAAAATGACGGTAAAAAATAGCAACAGGAAATAATGAGTACCCAAACACAACTTGCCAATTTGACGTTTACAGTGTTCCCCCTCTAAGCAGTCATTCAATCTAATAGTGAATACTTATCAAGCTAAATGTTTCTATTCATTTACGCAATCCTGCAATCAACCACATACTTCACGGTGTGTCTATCTTCCGATGTGGCCTGTAAGCTCAGTGGGTTTGATTATCATAGGGAATGTGCGGTACCGCTCATTCCTCGGCATTGTTTGCGTCATTTTTGCTTTGTTGAATACGCGAGTCCACCAAGTAAATGATAAACTTAACAGCATAACAGATGTCTGGAGAAATAACTGAGAGTACAGTTTGGTTGGATCATACATATTCTACACTGAATATTGACTTCTTAATGGCATTTACGATCCGTTTCCTATTTATTTTTTAAGGCTGTTTGATCTGATATCGCTGACCCAACCAAGAGGATCACCAACGAAGCCGTACCAACCCTTCAGTCGGTATGGTACGGGCTTTTACCAAGACGTACCACAGTCGATACCAGGTCAACGCCAGTGGATTCAAACTGGACGTAAGACCATTCGTGAAACACCAAACTCAAAAGATTTGCGACAGCCCTTGCCATATGGTCGACGTGCGCTGAATGCGGAACAGTCGGTGAAAACAACTTTAACTGCGGAAACACGGGGTGAACCCATGGAGCAGTCGACAATTTCAGACGCCACCCCAGCGTCACAACAAAATCTACTGAGTCAAGAACTGGCCGTTTGTCATGCTTTGACCGGTCTAACACCACAACAAAAGCAGATTTGTCTTCAACATTCCGGTTTGGTATGGGCCATGCTGGAAGGTACACACTTGGGTCTTCACGAATGCATGCATCAGTTTCAACATGAACAGTGGAATTGTTCTGCTGTGAATATATTGTATCAAATGCGCGGGAAACCCACCTCTACCTCCTCATTACCGGCTATCAGCGGAATGGAGGGGATTTTGCAACGTGGTTAGTTCCTGGAGTTTTCTATCTTACACACCATTGAATGTGGTTCATATGTGTGTCGAATCGTATTCATAATGAGCGTTGTGCTACTTGGGTGTCAATTTGTACCTATTAATGTCGACTAGTGGGTCGTGAGAACTCCGCTTTAATGTGTTCTTGCGAACATCCTTGGGTTATGTCAGGGTGAATCCAGTACTGTGAGTGAATGTCCTCCGGTCTGGCATCTTATTGACCCATGATCATACAGACTTCAGATTCTCCTATTTAAGGCCATTTACCTGAAACATTCTAAAAGTGTATAGCACATATTAACGTCCAAAAGGTTTACCCGTTTAATCTTTCATTTGACGCAGCACTAGTTACACCCTATGTACACATCGACGTTACCGCTCGGTAAATATAATGGGAGCATGGGAACAATGACATGGGGATTCCTTCGCGACATGCAGTCAAAGGTTAACAACCGTTCACCAATATAATAGCTAAATTATGTGATATACCGAATTTTAAAAATGGCCTACTGTTTTGTGTTTACCACTTTAGACTAGAAATTATCATACAGTAACGATGGAATGTTTAGATTTGTTTTGCCTCGTCAAAGTACACTGTAAACTTGTAAATACATCAGTCGAAAGTCTCGCTGAACACCCCTGATGGTACTTTGCCTCAGGATGCACTGCTTGTTGTTAATCAAAATAAATTGGCTCAGTAAAAAGACAGATTTTAAAATAAACGCTTCATTTATGGCCCAAGCAGACGCTTTTAATCGGAACAATTAGCCGCAGTTGTCAGGTTAACTGTTTCAATTTTCATTTTGGATCCCAAACTGAAGGCTCTATTGTTACCAACTGAGACCAGTTAAGGTAAAGAATTTGAGAGTTTTGTCTGGCTAGTTATGTACCCAGATTACGTTTAGTCTGCATGGACTACAGTATATAGCCTGTGTATATTTTAGTTGTTGGCTTCTGTGTGCTGTTATTTTTGAGCACTCAGGTACTGATAGTTTACTCAGCAGATTGAGTCCACTTAAAGTTTTCGCTGAAGTGAGAGAGTTGTCCCTGTTTGTAAATCAAAAGTCTTGCTTTTCTTCATGATAAATATTTTCGTTTACCACCCGAGATTTTAGAGAAATTTAATGCCTACATCTTAAATCTTTTAATTTAGGTGCTAAACAAATTTGTGTTGTTCTAAAGGCTCTATTCACGAAACAGAATTATGGAAGCCCTGTTGAAGGGTTACGAATGTATTTCGCTTAGAGACTTGGTAGTCGGCGCCTTTCATGTCCTCGGACCAACGCGTTCGTCGGAAAACCGACTACTCAAACATGGATAGTAGACAGTATTCACTCCGATTAATACTTATAATGCAACTAGATGGAGCCAGCTTAAAAGCTAAACCGTGTCACTTCGTCCAGCCCGCCGACTGTACCCGAATTAGTTTAATGAGTCTAGGGAACACGATATGCCATGATATAATTTTCCTTGGACACTGCATGTCATATTGTCACTGAGATTGTGCGATAACGCGAATCACCTCAGGATTGCTACGTGTGACGCGATCATGCATGAAACCCATACATTCGTGCACCCTACGACTTTTCTGTTTACCTCGCACCTTTGTGCCACGATCTCGGGAATAGTCGACTCACTTGAAGGAAGCGTCATATAGACCGGCACTAGTATATGCATGTGTCATTTTGAGCCATAATTAGAACGATTTGCAGTTTAATAGGACGAAATCGCAGAGGAAGAGCTAATTGTTGAGATGCATTTTGGTAGTACTAAATGCATGTTCTAACAATGTACCCTTTTGCTCAACTTTTCCAAATTTTCAACTAGTTTTTTTTGTGACGTTTGTTATTCAATATCTTTTTCTTGTTCAGATCCCATTTATTTCAGCTTTTACATAAGTTACTTAGGAAAGAAGAATGGACACCGAGTGTCGTGTTTTCCTTGTCTTTAGTCTCAGCATTTCCGTTCTGGCACGCAAGTACTTTGCCTAATGTTTATGCGGCCCATGCTAACAATTTTGTTCGTTCTCCGGCCTGCGTTGTTCATATTCCGTAATCCGGTCCGCACCATACCGTTTTGCAATTTATCCGGCCCGCCGTGGAAACAGTTTTGTAACTCCTGGCTTAACCGAACCAGTGGAAGAAGCAAGTAATTAACACTATTCCCAAAATTAACTTGAACTTGATTGCGCTCTAGTTGGGAACCTATAGCCCCCTATTCCTTCATGCAGCGCTTTATGGAAGGAGAAGTGCTTCGGTACAATCCACTGAGCTGTAGGTGGACTCGTATTTGCTTTCCTATACGCTCTTTCAGCAAAATCCCGTCATATCAGGGTGGGTGGCTGTTGATGACACATTCGTTCAGTTTTGCGTGGTTATAACAATGAAACAGTAATGTATTGCGGGCAAAGAAAGCGTGCTTGTCTAGTACCGTGAGAAGTCTAGCATGAGGGGCACAACAAGGGGAAAGGTAAACATGATGCTTACATGAGACGCGTTTTGGTGGTGTTCATATTGAGACATACGTAAAATAGCCTACGTTGACTGGGTAGGAAAATGCAGGTTGGTGCATCGTTTGTCACGCCATAGCATCTTTCGATCTACGCGTGCTACATTTAATAATGTTAGTGGGTTAGGGCGAAATTAAGGCGTTTTTAAACTGATAACGTGTATGCACTTATGGCTGGAGTTTCATGACTGACAGAAGCGATGAGAGTAAAATCTTCGGCAACATTCTCCAATCAACCGAGTGGCATAGCTAACCAATTGGTAGCTTCTCAGATTCGTGTTTTGACTAAGTTGCAACAGGTGGCAACAAACGTTGTTGAAATTCCGCTGAATTTTGTAGGTCACCCTAGTTGGAAAGATGTGACAATGGATTTATAACGGATGTAAAAGCAAACGACTAACAGTCTTCCATAGGTAAGAAATGTGAGCAAATTGTAGGTGTAGCAAAACAAAAGTACACGTAGCGGTGGAATTGTCACAAATTTCAAGTGTACATATTGTTTGGCTCCATTGTCGCGTGGCCCAGTAACTTGGTTTAACTCATGTAATGCAGGTGGTGTATTGCATCATCAAGTAGAGTTTTGAATTCGGACAACGTCGGTGAAGATATGAAAAAATGCGGAAGTGAGTTCCATGGCTGAGCTACAGGAAATAACACAATGTTCCGACCGCATTCCAACCGGATTCACCATGTCGCCAACCACAAGTGGTTGCCTCTCAGTAAGATGTTGTGACTGTTTCAATACGGATCGGCTTGAATACTTAGAGTCTTTGCGGATCTTAAAAAAAGCTGTAATGTCACCTTGCAGAAGACGATACTATTCACTACAAACTCCTAGAGCCTTTAGTCTCAACTGGTAAGGGATGTGGAGCACTCTTAATATTTTTGTTGCTCTGCATTTTGCCTTCTCAAGAGTAAATAGTTAATGAGTTTGCCAAGGGTACCACAGCTGTATGGCGTATTCAAGGTAGGGTCTCACGTTAGGTGACTCCGTAGATACGGATAATGACACCTGTGGAATGGAAAACAAGCCTTTTACACTCTTGTTGGTTCTGCACTGCAGAGTTATGAGTGCTGCGACATCTTGCGTGGGCCAAAACTGCCAGGCCTAGACAGCGTATTCCAAATGAGGCTGCACGCATGTATTAAGCATCTCAGAATGAAGATATTTTGTGCTGGAACTTTTAACATTTAATTTAATTGAATTAATTGTCGGTTGTCAAAGACCTGGACTAGCCTGGATCAATCAACTTTATAGGTCCAACGATTGTGATAATATAAAACCGTCTCAAGGAGACTGGACCTTAACTTGGTGTGACGGTTTGCGTACCTCATTCACCCATTGAGCTACACTAGGTGGTGCCTCCGGGCTGCTTGAAAGCTACTCCTACCAGGTTGGTCAATGGTGAGGGGTCAGACAAAATCAGTCTCCTGGTCCTCCAGGGATGGCGTCCACTTCTGTAAAACTAAATCATTGCCACCTCCCCGCTGCCTTGCGGACAGGCATTTGAGCCTAAGGCTTTGGATGAGGACCCTAATCGTCCTCCTGCCTAGATCTGGGCGCCCAGGTAATATCCCAGCTCACATATAACCATGACTTTTCCTTCCAATATAAACTTCCTCCTGCATCGGCCTTCGCGCAGATTATCCAGGGTCGCATTATCTGCTGCATACAGCATGGCGGATAAGCGAAAACATGCTATTACTGGCGCCTCCCTTCTTTAATTTCCACCTGTTTCTCTTACTTCCATCCCGACCCACATTACTAACCTTCCTTCTATAATTCCCAGCTTAAATGATAGCAACCGAAGTGTCACTGGAGTAGAATCATCTACAGCCACCTTCTCGCGAAGCCCACCGGACGCATATCAGCAACAATGCCTTATAAGGCCACACTCTCCCGTTTCCATGGCGACGTTCAACGTTCGCACTCTAAGACAAACAGGCCAACAGGCTTCACTCGCACATGCCTTGAACAAACTGGGTATTGGTGTGTTTTGTGTCCGAAATCAGGATCAACGACCCTAATGGGTTGTTGAATTAACTGCACCCTGCTCATCCTCTCGATATTGGTTGCAAGCATCCGGAGACGCCGATGCAGCACTCACGGGTCAAGCTGGTGTAGGTATCATTCTCAGCTCCAAGGCTGAGCCATCGTTGGTTGATTGCATCTCGGTAAACAGCCGTTTATGTGCAGCCCGTTTGACGACATCACCTAAGGTGGATTCACGAAGTAGTACAAAAAGCTGTTTGTTTGTGCTTTCCGTTTATGCTCCCATCGACTGCAGTTCTAATGCTGCCAAAGACACATTCTATGGCGAACTGAACGCGCTACTACCCAGTGCCACTAGTTCAGATATTATGGTACTTGCAGAGGACATGAACGCACAAGTAGGGCGTCTGAGCGCTTCAGAAGCTCAGTTTGGTGGTAATTATGGGCTTAAGTCCGAACGGACTGACAAAGGCGAGCGTCCGCAACAACTG